AACATTACATGCCGAATGTGTGTCTCGTCGTGTGTCATCACTATAAGGGATTAGAGTATACTAAACTTTACACATTATATAGGCTACACTAACGTGACTTTTAGGCGGTTAATGAAAGTGTTCCAAAACGCGACATTAATTTATTGATGACCTAATAATATGCATGAATGATTATTGTTTATTAAAAACAACAATTAAACATATAATTTTCTACAGGTAAACAATACTAATACGACGTGTATTAAAATCTGCCAACGATAAGGTTTCTGTTTGAACCGGGCGTCGTTTTCCGTGTACTGACGTTTTAGGTTTACCTTTGGCTGGTGTACAGGAGCCGTGGCGACGTGAGTCCGATATAGACGTCCAATCAGGCGGCGGCATTGTAAGTAAACTTACGTTATCACGTGTCTGTCCCAACAACAACAACAACAAAACAACGGGAGGGAATACACACTATTTGGGATGGCGTTTAACATTCGACTCACAACAGTTATATTGATTTCCAAGTTGTGTGTTACACGTGTATGTTAGTAATATTTGGAAGAAACTGGAAACCACTTTTGGCTAATGGTGTTCAATAATCTACGCCATTTTGATTGGGTTTATGAACTGATAACTGCACGTGGTCATCAGTTTTTTTTGTTTTGTTTTTTACACCATGAAGTAATGATATATAGGTGTCTAATTGTTGCCCAATGTTGTTAAACAAGTAAACACATTGTTTTTTAGGGTATTTCAGGCAGTGCATTCATGATAAAGATTTGGTTTTGGTGGACTTTCCCTTGGTGGACTTTCCCTTGGTGGACTTCAAGTGTAAGTCAACGTTTCGTCTTCTATACCGAGGCTTTTTCAGGTCAACGTTGTTAACTGTGTAGCATATTTTTTCTTGGTTAGCGCGATCCTGTTATAGAGCTCCTTCCTGTGTTCTTGTACAAGTGTATGTAATAAATCAGGATAACCATAGTTTATCATGTGACTGTGTGACGTTTACTTTTTCATTAAACCCCTGACAGCTGTTTACTTTCTTCATTCAACCCCTGACAGTTGTTTACTTTCTTCATTAAACCCCTGACAGTTGTTTACTTTCTTCATTAAACCCCTGACAGTTGCTTACATTCTCCATTAAACCCCTTAAAGTTATAACTTCTTCCCTAAGCTACCAGATGTGAACCTGGACGAGTTTTAATACCGTTTCAAGGATATTTGCAATCACGTGGCTCCGCAGTAAACCTGAACTCTTATCACACTAAAAATAGGGTTTCGATACCCGCGGTGGGCAAAAAATAAACAAACAATAGCTTATTGTGTCGCTTTAGGCTTAGTGGTAACATGGTGGAAGTGGGGCCTATACATTAACATGTCGTTGTTAGTGTTAACGTGCCTATAGGTAACATGGTGGAAGTGGGGCCTATACACTAACATGTCGTTGTTAGTGTTAACGTGCCTATAGGTAACATGGTGGAAGTGGGGCCTATACACTAACATGTCGTTGTTAGTGTTAACCTGCCTATAGGTAACATGGTGGAAGTGGGGTCTATACACTAACGTGTGGTTGATAGGATAATATGTTAGTGAAGAAACAAGTAATCAGAGGGACGCACTACCTGTACAAGGGAACTAAAAACAATATATGTTTCATCACGTGCTCGCTAGATGGTGCTTTCATAGAGGTAAGATTAAAACTCCACAAACTAGCTTAGCATTGGATATATATTTACATCCGCTAGGCAGTTTTCGTACAAAATACTCAGTGTATGAGTTAATATTTTATTTCTACGTCGATAAAGCCTCGTTTATATTTACTTGTTAAAGACCCAATGCTGTCAATACATTGCCATCATATATTAGCGTCTGAAGCTATCTACGTCATGTAAGAACATGTAATGTCACAAACGCACTGAATAGATACTCTCCATGAAATGTGTTATATATCTACTGGTTTATTCAGTTTTTACAGACAACGGCTACTCAGTGAGTGACGAAAGACAGCAGATTACGATTATTGAGGTCAACTTAGGAAAACTATGGTGCTTTAAAACAAATCTCAGTCACACAGTTTACTTGACCTCAGTCACACAGTTTACTCGACCTCAGTCACACAGTTTACTTGGCTTCAGTCACACAGTTTACTTGACCTCAGTCACACAGTTTACTTGACCTCAGTCACACAGTTTACTTGATCTCAGTCACACAGTTTACTTTACCTTAATTACACAGTTTACTTGATATCAGTCACACAGTTTACTTGAACTCAGTCACACAGTTTACTTGACCTCAGTCACACAGTTTACTTGACCTCAGTCGCACAGTTTACTTGGCTTCAGTCACACAGTTTACTTGACCTCAGTCACACAGTTTACTTGGCTTCAGTCACACAGTTTACTTGAACTCAGTCACACAGTTTACTTGACCTCAGTCACAGAGTTTACTTGACCTCAGTCACACAGCTTACTTGACCTTAATTACACAATTTACTTGAACTCAGTCACAGAGTTTACTTGACCTTAATTACACAGTTTACTTGGCTTTAATTACACAGTATACTTGAACTCAGTCACACAGTATACTTGAACTCAGTCACACAGTTTACTTGACCTCAGTCACACAGTTTACTTGACCTCAGTCACAGAGTTTACTTGACCTTAATTACACAGTTTACTTGATATCAGTCACATAGTTTACTTGGCTTTAATTACACAGTTTACTTGATATCAGTCACACAGTTTACTTGATATCAGTCACACAGTTTACTTGACCTCAGTCACACAGTTTACTTGACCTTAATTACACAGTTTACTTGTTTCTTTACACATAAAACAAATAGTTTTTTTTATAGAGTTTCAACACAAGATTATTAACAAATCATGATGATAACAACCTGGTTCTTTGAAAACAGCCAGGTTTATATATATAAGACATTCACTAAGACTCATGAGTTGATTTTCGGACTATAAAACATTACAAAGATGACGAGTCAGTTATCTGGTTAATAGGAGAAGTTAAATATTTAAACTTTCAATATATATATACGTGTTTATTATTCTGTCAAGAACAAAATCTTCTGTTCGTCCGAATCAACTTCTAAATGTCCAATATTGGTCCTGTTGCACTAGCCTTCTTGAAATAAGTACAAATATATTTTTTTCGTATCTTCCTTTCACTAAAACTAACCACGATTTCTTGTAATTGGTTCCACTGCAACTTGTAAACTTAGATTGAATCTAAGGTTTACTTCCTCGTTCAGAGATTCCTTCACAAATTAGACGACTTCTGTCAACTTTCGGAAGTTCGCTTAACAAACGTGAGAGGGCTCCGACAAAGAGGCACTTAAATCACCTTCTTATCTTTCCTGGTAAAAAAACCACCGGAACTCTCTTGAGGAAGTGTTCTCAGCTAACCGTTCACCGTGAGAGCTAATACTGCGCCAAAAGCTAAGCCTACTGAAAGCACTGGTCTCATGGCCGAACTTAAAGTGTAGTGACATTCTCCTGGGGGCGAGAAAGTGGGAGGAAATTAAGCATATAATACTAAATAAAATAATAAAATAATTTCCATAAGCAAGTCAGAAACTTGGAACACCCAATTAAAATTTATCAAGCATCTACACACTTGATCAATTAAAGTTTCTACTTTAATAAGTAAAGCATCTTCATGTCAAATAAGAAGAAAACAATGATTAAACAAAATTTATCTAAAATTGTCAACCTGTCCCTCCGTCACTAGGGTCTTCATTAGGCCTGATACACAGGTTTCAATATTCAACTTGTCTCTCCTTCACTAGGGTCTTCATTAGGCCTGATACACAGGTTTCAATATTCAACTTGTCCCTCCTTCATTAAAGTATTCATTAGACAAAAAAACCTGTGTATCAGGCCTAATGAAGACCCTAGTGAAGGAGGGACACGTTAATATTGAAACCTGTGTATCAGGTCTAATGAAGACTTTAATGAAGGAGGGACAAGTTGAATATTGAAACCTGTGTATTTGGTGTAATGAAGACTTTAATGAAGGAGAGACAAGTTGAATATTGAAACCTGTGTATATTTTAATGAAGGAGGGACAAGTTGAATATTGAAACCTGTGTATCAGGCCTAATGAAGACCCTAGTGAAGGATGAACAAGTTGAATATTGAAACCTGTGTATTTTGTCTAATGAAGACTTTAATGAAGGAGGGACAAGTTGAATATTGAAACCTGTGTATCAGGCCTAATGAAGACCCTTATGAAGGAGGGACAAGTTGAATATTGTTCATTAGGCCTGATACACAGGTTTCAATATTCAACTTGTCCCTCCTTCATTAAAATATTCATTAGGCCTGATACACAGGTTTCAATATTCAACTTGTCCCTCCTTCATTAAAGTCTTCATTAGGCTTGATACACAGGTTTCAATATTAATCTCATAGTCTACCTACCTGCTGCCGTAATGTTGAAAGTTAAGTTTCCTGTAACGCCAGGTTGGACATCACGATATTAGTCTCATAGTCTACCTACCTGCTGCCGTAATGTTGAAAGTTAAGTTTCCTGTAACGCCAGGTTGGACATCACGATATTAATCTCATAGTCTACCTACCTGCTGCCGTAATGTTGAAAGTTAAGTTTCCTGTAACGCCAGGCTGGACATTACGAGAGCAAGTGTCATGTAAACCTGACATCCGGGTCACCCGTGAATAAGCAGAAAAAACCTGAAACATACACATACTTTGTAGTGTGAAGCTAGTGAGTTATAAGACAATTATAACATAGTTAACACCGTGTAGTGTGAAGCTAGTGAGTTATAAGACAATTATAACATAGTTAACACCGTGTAGTGTGAAGCTAGTGAGTTATAAGACAATTATAACATAGTTAACACCGTGTAGTGTGAAGCTAGTGAGTTATAAGACAATTATAACATAGTTAACACCAGTGTAGTGTGAAGCTAGTGAGTTATAAGACAATTATAACATAGTTAACACCGTGTAGTGTGAAGCTAGTGAGTTATAAGACAATTATAACATAGTTAATATCGTGTAGTGTGAACCTAGTGTTAATACCGTGTATTGTGAAGCTAATGTTATTACCGTGTAGTGTGAACCTAGTGTTAATACCGTGTAGTGTGAAGCTAATGTTATTACCGTGTAGTGTGAACCTAGTGTTAATACCGTGTATTGTGAAGCTAAATGTTATTACCGTGTAGTGTGAACCTAGTGTTAATACCGTGTAGTGTGAAGCTGATGTTATTATTGTGTAGTGTGAACCTAGTGTTAATACCGTGTAGTGTGAAGCTGATGTTATTACCGTGTAGTGTGAACCTAGTGTTAATACCGTGTAGTGTGAAGCTGATGTTATTACCGTGTAGTGTGAACCTAGTGTTAATACCGTGTAGTATGAAGCTAGTGACTTCTAACACAATCATAACATAGTTAATACCGTGTAGTGTGAAGCTATTGTTAATATCGTGTAGTGTGAACCTAGTGTTAATACCGTGTAGTGTGAAAACAATTAGGTACAGTAGAATGACGATACAACTAAAATAGTTTGTGTTAATACTTTGTCCATTACATACTAGTTCAAGACTTATTTAACACTATAGTTTAACACATATGTAGTGTCTACTCAAGGCTAGTTAAGAAGGTAATACAGACATGTTAAGTAACACAATGAGTCTACTCAAGGCTAGTTAAGAAGGTAATAAAGACATGTTAAGTAACACAATGAGTCTACTCAAGGCTAGTTAAGAAGGGAATATAGACATGTCAAGTAACACAATGAGTCTACTCACAAAACAAAACTTTCGTCGTGATTCTTTGAGTCCAGTTACTAGATAGTTTCGTCCTTTTTCTTCCCAAGTTCCGTGACACTGGAAACCTGAACCAGTTTTAAATACCTGTTAACACGTACTTGTAAACGGAAAATACATTGTTGCACGTTTAACACGTTTCTGATTACAGTTTTGTTAACCTATATTTTATACAGACTACGACTTACATGATATAAAACTTACACAGTCATGCTCTCTCTAATCACTGTTAGAACAACAACATCTGTTACCACGTTGTGCTGGGAATGACTGTTAGAACAACAACATCTGTTACCACGTTGTGCTGGTAATGACTGTTAGAACAACAACATCTGTTACCACGCTGTGCTGGTAATCACTGTTAGAACAACAACCTTTTGTTACCACGTTGTGCTGGTAATCGCTGTTAGAACAACAACATCTGTTACCACGCTGTGCTGGTAATCACTGTTAGAACAACAACCTTTTGTTACCACGTTGTGCAGGTAATGACTGTTAGAACAACAACATATGTTACCACGTTGTGCTGGTAATCGCTGTTAGAACAACAACCTTTTGTTACCACGTTGTGCTGGTAATGACTGTTAGAAGAACAACATCCGTTACCACGTTGTGCTGGGAATCATTGTTAGAACAACAACCTTTTGTTACCACCGTGTGCTGGTAATGGCTGTTAGAACAACAACATCTGTTACCACGTTGTGCTGGTAATCGCTGTTAGAACAACAACATCTGTTACCACGCTGTGCTGGTAATGACTGTTAGAAGAACAACATCTGTTACCAAGTTGTGCTGGTAATGACTGTTAGAGCAACAACCTTTTGTTACCACGTTGTGCTGGTAATGACTGTTAGAACAACAACCCTTTGGACCACGTTGTGCTGGTAATGACTGTTAGAACAACATCATCTGTTACCAAGTTGTGCTGGTAATCGCAGCGAACAGCAAGTTGCACCAAGCTGTTAACTGACCACTGAAATAAGCTATGTAACCGTGGCAACAGTTTACATGACAGGTTATATATTAACCTGAAATAAGCTATGTAACTGTGGCAACAGTTTACATGACAGGTTATATATTAACCTGAAATAAGCTATGTAACTGTGGCAACAGTTTACATGACAGGTTATAGATTAACCTGAAATAAGCTATGTAACTGTGGCAACAGTTTACATGACAGGTTATATATTAACCTGAAATAAGCTATGTAACTGTGGCAACAGTTTACATGACAGGTTATAGATTAACCTGAAATAAGCTATGTAACTGTGGCAACAGTTTACATGACAGGTTATAAATTAACCTGAAATAAGCTATGTAACTGTGGCAACAGTTTACATGACACCTGAAATAAGCTATATAACTGTGGCAACAGTTTACATGACAGGTTATATATTAACCTGAAATAAGCTATGTAACTGTGGCAACAGTTTACATGACAGGTTATAGATTAACCTGAAATAAGCTATGTAACTGTGGCAACAGTTTACATGACAGGTTATAGATTAACCTGAAATAAGCTATGTAACTGTGGCAACAGTTTACATGACAGGTTATATATTAACCTGAAATAAGCTATGTAACCGTGGCAACAGTTTACATGACAGGTTATAGATTAACCTGAAATAAGCTATGTAACTGTGGCAACAGTTCACATGACAGGTTATATATATTAACCTTTATAAATAACGCAAAAACTATGAAACCTTTGGAACTTCCTTAAGATATCGTTACATGTTTAACATTTCACGAAAAATAACGATTTATCAAACAGAATTTATGAATATCTTAAATACGTACGAGCTTCAGTAGAGAATGGAAGTACGTAAACTTTCTTACGTTTTAAATCTTGGTACATAGCACAGGTCATCAGTAACTCCAAGCTACTGTCGCTTCGACACCCAACCATAGCTGTAACGTACTTGGTACACTTCTCAGATAAGGAGCTCAGTTTGCCCGGCTCTATACGAAGACCGTTAGTTTCGGCCAGTGCTGGACAGTGGTTAGTATTTGGAGTAGAAGCTGCTTAGACAGAGAACGATAGAATGAGTAGAATCATATACTGGTTTCAAGTACACATACTGAGCTCCAAAAACCAGTTAAGTTATGGACAACAGAAGGAGAAATTTGTGACAGATTAATCCACTGTTAATATAATATCTTTGTGCAGAAATTAGCAGGTTAGGTGTTTGGTAAGACGTAATGAATGTTAAAGTTTCATGAGATCACAACCTGGAAAGTTAAATACAGTACGTTCTATTATAAAGATTTTAGACTCTCACCACGTGGTTACAGTACAGGTCACAACGTCCGGTAATATAGTATCTGACAACAGTGTATCTCAACAATAGCCCTACAGCGTAGTTTCCAATGTGCAAGGCTCCGTCGTAAGGCTGTAAAACACACTATTGCTTGCTGTAGCTTTCCATAACCCATCTAGGGCACGAGGATGATATTTTCCCATAGCCCATTTCAAAAGTCCGATCGCAGTGACCCGACCCGTATGCTTTCATGTAGAACACCACGAATACACGTTTTCATTCTGCTTGAGGTACGACAAGAAGCCATACTTAGGTGAGCCTACACTTTGTTGCTATCGTTTGTAAACGGAGATACTCCTTGATTATATTAGACAGTTTTCGTATTTGACCTTTGTTCATAGGATCTCGCCTGTTACAAAAAAATCACAATTTGTTTACCACGGCTTGTTGCAGATCTCTTTCTGTGTGATCTTGGTGCCCAAATCGTCGAATGCAACACCTAAGGATTTTTGTATGATTGGCACCGGGAATCAATCGTCCTTGTACGCTAAGTGGCTTATGGAAAGCCAGCAGAGGATAAAGATGTGCTTGGGACATGACACCTATATAAAGCAGTCTTTTGCAATGGATACTACGCTGCAGCGCTATTGTTGAGATGCACTGTTGTCAGCTAGAGTATGATGGGACGTTGTGACCTGTACTGTGTTGACGAGATGAGGTTCTGAAACCGTTTTAATATAATACACTCACACTCTAGGTTTTAATATCTTGAAACGTTCTTAAATATTTTACTTTAATATGTAAAAAACGTTTCTAGTAACTCTAGCTCAACTCTAATATTTCGAAATAATCTCAATAATCTTTAACTTAGCGTGTCGAAACATCTGTATTTACTTTATCTGTTACGTTTGTAGCTAACCTACTGTAACGTTCATAAGAAAGTAGTCCCAGAAAGAAGCATTAACATACTTTATCGTTTCATGAACGTTTCGTAGCCTAGTGTAAACTAAATTCTGGCAACACTGGTGGCTAGTACACTTAATCTAGTTTGTGTCAAATACAGAAATCAAGGTCAGTATTTACTCACCGAAATGGTCCAGAATCAAGGTCAGTATTTACTCACCGAAATGGTCCAGAAATCAAGGTCAGTATTTACTCACCGAAATGGTCCAGAAATCAAGGTTAGTATTTACTCACCGAAATGGTCCAGAAATCAAGGTCAGTATTTACTCACCGAAATGGTTCAGAAATCAAGGTCAGTATTTACTCACCGAAATGGTCCAGAAATCAAGGTTAGTATTTACTCACCGAAATGGTCCAGAAATCAAGGTTAGTATTTACTCACCGAAATGGTCCAGAAATCAAGGTTAGTATTT